AGTGAGGGGGGATTTGATAGCAGCCTTCAACTTCCTGAAGGGAGGTTCCAAAGAGCATGGAGAGAGGCTTTTCTCAGTACTAACAGATGGCAGAACAAGGAGCAATGGTCTCAAGTTACAGTGGGGGAGCTCTAGGTTAGATATTAGAAAAACTATTTTCACTAGGAAGGGGGTGAAGTACTGGAATCAATTACCTAGGGAGGTGGTGGAATCTCCATCCCTAGAGGCTTTTAAGGATCGGATTGACAAAGCCCTGGCTGGGATGATTTAGTTGGGATTCGTCCTGCTTTGGGCAGGGGGGTTAGACTCAATGACCTCCTGATGTCTCTTCCAGCCCTACGATTCTAAGTTACATCTTTTCCTCATATTCCTTAGAATTGTCTCATATACAGAAAAAAACTTAAAAATAACAATTAGTCCTGTAGCATCTTTAGAGGCTAACAAAAAATATAGATAATATCATGAGCTTTTGTGGGCACAACCCTCTTCTTCAGCTGAATGGAGCCCCTTGTGTCAGTACCGGAAGATAGCTAGATATAGATATAGATATCCAAAGCAAAATAGTTATAGCCTCCTGGTTCTGTTCTCACACTGCGTGTATATAACTGCTGTATCAGAATTAAGGCTCAAACTGATGGAAAAATTCAGTTCCTATGGTTAAATGCAATGAAGGATTTAGCATTATAACTTGTCCTCTCTGCCCCAAAACGTACTCTCTCTTTGAGTTCCCTGGACCCCAGGCTGTGTCTAGACTGGCCAGTTTTTCCGGAAAATCAGCTGCTTTTCCAGAAAAACTTGCCAGCTGTCTACACTGGCTGCTTGAATTTCCACAAAAGCACTGACTTCCTACTGTAAGAAATCAGTGCTTCTTGTGGAAATACAATTCTTCTCCCGTTAAGGCAAAAGTCCCTTTTGCGCAAAGCTTTTGCACAAAAGGGCCAGTGTAGACAGCTCAGATTTGTTTTCTGCAAAAAAGCCCCGATTGTGAAAATGGCGATCGGGGCTTTTTTGTGGATAAGCGCGTCTAGATTGGCACGGATGCTTTTCCGCAAAAAGTGCTTTTGTGGAAAAGCATCTATGCCAATTTAGACGCTCTGTTCCGAAAATGCTTTTAACGGAAAACTTTTCCGTTAAAAGCATTTCCAGAAAATCATGCCACTCTAGACACAGCCCCACTGTATTAACTCAACTGATACAATGGGCACAAAGCCATTGCATCTTCCTGGGGAGGATAATAAAATAATAATAAAATATTATTAATTATATTATTATTATTAATACCCAGTGGGGTAGAGTCAGTGAAACAAACTTTCAAGCCCTCTAGTACACAGTAATCCTGGAGGGTGTGGCTAGAGAGGAAGGAGGTGGGCTGTGGAAAGCAGGGTGTAGCCAGAAGACACTGTGCTCTGGCTGTTCTGAGCTGCTACCATAGCCCACGAGGACCTTAGCAATAGAGCTAAATTAGAACAGCCCCTACCCCAGCCCTGGAATCCAAAAGCAGTCAAGGTGGCTTTCTGTGCTGAGCACAGTTTAGCTGGACAGGAGAATCTGGGCTTTAAGGGTGAGCCTAGATAATAATTGCAGGATTTAGCCTGACATTTCTATAGAGAGAAAATGTTTCTTTGTGGAACGTTTACCATTCCAGTCCTGAGAATAACACTAGTGCTTGATGAAACTTTGATCCCACTAAGAGCCTCTGCTGCTATCATCATAAACTGTTGTCCGGAGGAAAAAAAAAGGAGTGGGAGAGCGTCAGTGGAATAATGCAACAGAAGTGCAATTCTGAGATCCATTTACTTATTGGGTGTTTAATCTTAGATTAGCCATCAGGGCTGGGGAGAGCATTCCCAGCTGTACAGTAAGAATGGCAGACTCATGGAACCGCTGGGGAAGAGCAGTTTCCCTTGCACGTAGCTTAGGCAGGAGGAGAAAGCTCATTGAAATATGAAGACTAGAGGAAAGTTTGGTGGAGGAGTGTTTCTTATTAATGATGATGGATGTGACTCAGGGAGGGGGGATAGGGATGAGCATTGAACCTGGAGGGAAGGGCTATTGAATTTACTATTAAAAAAATCCTGTTGCCTGTGTAGGGGCGAGGCGATTACAGAGCACGTGACGCAAGGGGGAACAGAAGAGGGATTTACTTTGGATGTGACGTACCAAAAGGATTATTGGACCTGTGACATAGTAGAAAGCAGATTACAAGGAACTTTAAGAAGCCTTTCATGGCAGTAATACAGTACTGTATAGGCATTGCATCATCAGGATGCTGGAGACCTTAGGTCTCTAGTGATCTTAGGCTGCTAAGAGGTGTTTTAAAGAACTATAAAGAATTAAGGAGAGTGACAGTGCTTTAATAAGACAAATGCTTGCCTCCCAGATGCCCCGCACCAGCCAAGATTAAACTGTGTGAGGATGGTGCTATGTCACTACCGGAAGAATGTGGAGATGAGCAAATCGACTGTCACAGATGATTTGACAAATTCTGATTTGCTTGTAGGAAAATGTCTGTTAATCCTATTAGAGAGGGAGAGACAGGAGCGAGGGCAAGTCAGTGGCTTGGCGCAGCTGTAAAAGTTCGGATCACAGGTGGAGCCGACTGATTTTTACACGTGTCTTTTTTCTTCTCCCTGTGTCATTAATCAAAATCCCAGTGACATGAGGTGTCCGATCCAAACCTCTGTGCGTCCCCAGCAGGTGTGGGAGTTGTATGCACCCAGCCACTTACTCAGGGAATGTCCACTGTAGCTGAAGGGGAAACTTTCCTCCCCTGCTCCCGTCCTCAGCAGGGAGGAGGGAGAAGGAAAGCTGGCTTGTCTCCGCTTGGGAAATGTTTGTGTTAACTCGCCTTCCCTAGTGTTTGGCCGTTCCACCGGCCAGGACTGAATTAGCCCTTGTTATGGCCCGGGGTGGGGACGCGTTCATTCTAATTTACAAGTGGGAGGTATTTTTGCTCCACTTACCGCTGAAAACTGGCCTTATCTACTACATCAGACTTTTCAACGTGAGTCAGCACTACTGGGGTTGCAGGCTGGAGCTTTGTCCTGTGTCTGATGATTTCTAAGATCTTACTGGGGAAGCTAATATTCCCCTTGCCTTACTCCAGTTGATACTTACGTGTGCTGATTGGGAGCCAGCAGTGCGGTCTTTAGGGTTTCCCGTGTCTCCTGCACCCTTAATGCGATAGCTAAGTTGGTGTTTGTCTTTGAGGATTTGTCGGGAGGTGGTTACGGCGACTCCTCAAAGTTGTGTTTTCAACTACCTGAATTGGACGAAATAATAAAAGAATTAAAAGCAGCCGGAGATTTCGTATTAAACGTTCTGATTTCGACTCCGTGTTTAAAGAGCGCGCAAATACATGTCCCTAGTCTGGCATTTAAATATGGGATGTCTTGTGAAAACTCTACATTTGAAAAAAAAAATCCAGGCCAAGAGGGAGTCTGTAGACCCCACTACGAAGCAGTGCACAATCCGGAAAAGCTACTCGAGAGGTTACCTCAGGGAAGCTATAGCTCTTTTATGAGGTGGAGGCAAATAGAGAAAAGGAGAAAGGGAGCAGGGCGGGTCGTTGGGGGTGTTATTTGTTTATCCTCTTTAGCTCTGAGTGGCATTTTCTCTGCTGTGAGTGGTGATTTTACCACTTTTAGAATGGTGCATTCGGATTCTAGACCAAAGAGAACGAGCCCCTTATAGTGCAGTCGCTATCCACAGTGTCACTCTGAGAGTGTGGTTACCCCTACACGTAGATAGCTATGGGTGCATACTTTGAACCAGTCCCTAAGAAAGTTCCCTGGAAAAATAGGCAGTTTGTTGCTAACGTTTTGGTGTCTGTCCTCTTGCTAGGCATCGACATATTATATTAATTATTGCTAATGCTTGTAACAATATGGACTTCATTAAAGTTTAGTTGTTTTTTTAACCCATCTCAGTTAACATTCATAGAAAATCTAGCTGCATTTTGTACATACACAAATTGGTGGCTCTCTCTTTTGTTTTGTTTGGCGAAGGCTGATTTTGAACGGGACATTATAGTGGTCTTGTCAGTTAGTATGATTTGAAAGTGAGTCTATGTAGTGCTTTAGCCTGCCCTCAGCAATCAGGCTTTAGACTCACGAGGCTTTGATTGTAGGAGTTGCCTTATTTGCATTGATGAGGATGAGCCAGCTGCTGGAGCATACAGAACTGCACCTGACACAATCACTGAGTTCAGGATTAGCACAGGGAATCAGGAATCCACTACGCTATATGGCAATCTCAGCCCTACATTAGAGTCACTCATGCAAAATGACCCAAATTTGCAATGAACACAATTAGCAATCCAAAAATGCATGTTAATTTAGGGGCTGACATTTTCTTGCGTTTTACTTATTAAATATAACGATTATATACAGTTTAGTATGCAAGGCTGAGAAAGGATATTAAGCTTTCACCCCTCCCCGTACCCTAATAAACATGTGAACTGTTAGGATTCCTCTTTATATTTGGGAAGGCACTCTATTTGTTTTCTGCAATACAAAGACTCTTCTCTGTTATTTGCTTGTAATAATAAATAAAGAGCAGCCTTTTTAAAGGATCATTTCAGATGTATAAGATAAAGAATCCTTCTGTACAATTTTCCTCCTGTGTTCAAAATCTACACACCTAAATCACTCACTACTCTTCTTCATAACAGGAGGATCTTTCATCAAAGTTAAACTGGATATGTTAGATTCTAACAAAGTAGGGTTTTCTTCTCCCCATAAAATTGTTGTGTGTGTAATATAAAAGACAAACCTGAGCTATGTTTCCCCATGAATTTACTGTAGGTAGATAGTGAAACCTCTCACCTATGCTTTGAAAAAAAAAACATTTTGCAAAAAATTGAATAACTGATAATTTGGAGCAAAAGCTTGCAGTTCAAAAGCTAAAGCTCCCATTGGAGAACAGAAAATTTAATGAGCTTTTAATGGAATGCAATGCTCAGAGTAGTAAATTATTTGTTAGTTGACGATGCAATCAGCATGCTGATTAAGGTTGCTTGGTTTTTTACTAAACATTAACTGAATGAAAACGGTTAGTCCTTGTTGTTCTGCTTGGGGGGCTTTGGTGAAGCAAATGGACTTTCAGAACAGAGATTGTCAATAAAGGTGAGTGCACTCCAGGTGTCATTTGAATATGGTGATAAAATACTTCTGATAAATATTTAAAAGCATTTTAAATCCACAATGTTCGCCTAGTGTACTGTGAACTCTGTTTAAAGAAACAGTGGGCCTAGAAAGGCCTCAGGACAGATTCCATTTCTTTCTGTAGATATATAGATAGATTTTATATTTCATTTGCTATTTTTTAAAATGTAAGTTGAAATATACATGTATGTAAATTATAGATTTTGCAGAAGTGAACCTGCAATATCAAACAAAAATTACTAGGACACTAAAGACAGAATGACTATTCCCTGGCTAGATCAGAAGAAAAAGTATAAGCAATTTTAAATCTACCTGAATTTATAAAATAAATAACTGTAAAATATTTTTTAAAAGATTATTCTGAAGGAAACCCCATTTTTATATTTCAATTATACGTCGTCGTCTTTTAGTGATCTGGGGAAAGGGGAGAAACCGTGGCATTAACACCACAATAGAGAGGCTGTTTATTGTTCTCTTATGTCTGTTGACTGTAAATATTTAGTCTATTGAATCTTTAGACAAGTCGTGGCTTGCATAGATCATTTTATGTATTGACTGTGTTCCTGCTTGAAACAATGTTTATCCTTTTGGTCATCTGTTTGCTTTGGTCTACAGATTTGAGAGACAAAGGGGAATTTTAAAAAAAGAGTTATAGACAGAGGGACTTTCCATTTTATGTTAACAACTACAAAGTTCTTCTTCTATAAATCCCAATTAGCTTAATCATCGCGTTTTCCGCTAACCATGATCAGGTACCCTTAAAATCCGATAAATAACTATCTTATGTGTTTTAACCATTCCTGTTTATGACCCAAGAGGTTAAAAGCCTTTCACTGGCATTTGACTTCTGACCTCATATAAATGTTATCTTATCAGTTCCTGCTTGTTAGCTTGTATTGAGTGCTTGTCCCTGATGGCTTTTAGATAAAGGGGGTTTTATTATATTTCCTATTGAAACTGATCCATTTGCTTTGTTCTTAGCCTGTAGTTTCAGCCCACATAGTAACCCTGTAACCTAAGAGTTTTTTTGAATGGGCTGAAGCCCAAACTGTTTATAGTTTATACTGAGCCTTATTGATATCATATTGCCATGGTGTTTTATTTTTATTAATCTTACATTTAGATCATATCTACAACTAAGTTCTGAATATTAGAGATTTTTCTAGACAAATTAAAATAATTGCAGGTTTGGTCAAGATGAGATGAGTAGAAATCTTGTCTACCCAAATCTGAGCTGCCTTAATGAAAGAGCCATTATTTTTAAATGTTCAGTTATATTATTTTAAACACTATTTTCTAATCCTTTAAAAGCAAATAATGGTGTAATATTGCTACGTCTTTCGTAGTGCATTGCATCATAGAAGTCAGGCTCTCTTTATCGTGGCGTGTTTTTCTGTTGTACTGCGTGTGTCACATGTACAAACGTGTATATAGCTCGGTATGGTGACTGAAATGTACAGTAGGCATTGCTACTGTCATCCACATATGTAATGTACACCGGTATTTCTATAGACCTAAATGTATTTAATATTTTTATTATCTTTATTTACAGGGGACTTTTGGGGGGAGGGATGAAGTCGCTCGAGTTCCTCTATCTGATTTGCAAAAGAATAATGTATTGCTAAAGAATAGCTTAGATTGATTATAACCCAATTTCTACAGGAAAATCACAGGGAAGGAATGAAAAGGCAGCCATCTTGTGGGTGTCATCTTGCACTTTTTATCCTTAATTCTTTTCCACTCAGCCTTTCTTCGGCTGTGATATTGCCTTTCACCTTAATTAGTCTTGAAGATAATACATGATATATACAGTATATTTACATCATTCCTTATGCTAGAGGAAAGGATGCATTCCCCTTTGGCACTTCAAGCAATCACTGTCTAGTGGTTACAAGAAAACTACGTCTGCCTTGATATTTACTCATACATATGAATGAAACATCATTTTTGCATTGTAAGAATCTGTGTTGAAACGTATTTACAAAAAGCAAATATGTAAGCAAAATTGTATTCTTAGGAACAAAATTAATTTGTCTGAAAACTAATTACCATTCAAGAAATAGGAAATCTGCTGGATGCTCCCATTTACAAATTAACTTTGGAGTTTCTGATTTTATGTATCTATTGCTGGATTATTTATTTATTATTTTCATTGTTAATACGACCTACAGTTGGTACTGATCAGCGTCAGTGCTCTCGGTGTAGATTTCATTGAGATAATATTTTAATAAAAAGTACCTTACTACCAATTCCAACTTTATAGTTCAGCTATTTTAAAATTGTGGATGTAGTTTAAAGATATAATCTGCAAAAAGAAAAATATTCGACAAGAATACTGGGTTGCTATGTACGTTAAGACATGATCAAGTGCTACCTTCTTAGTTCATAAACAAAAATTCTGCATTCACTGTTACGTTTTTCTGGTAGAAGAAAACCAGAACTATTAGCTTAAATTTATACCTGTAAATGAAATACCACGTGGAAATAGATATTCATCAATGGGAAAAAATGTAATCAGTGCTACTGTCCTTTCACATGCAAATACTTTGGTTCAGTATAAATCAATCTAGAGCTTACTGATTGATGTAGTTATTGGCAGTTTACAAATAAACTGTGAGAAGTAGCTTGAAAAGTATCGGGGGGTTGTTTGGAAACCCGCAAAAATACATTGGAGATGAATATTTAATTCGTCTTTCTAAAAACTAGGTTTAAAATGCAAAACAAAATAGCAGTACTAATTAGTGTTTGTTTGTTCAGCCCTTTGTAAATGTAAAGCTCTTGTCAAAGTGCTAAGTGTTATTAATAACTCTCAGGACACAGATAGTTCGTGACTCTGGTGTTTTCAGAAAAATAATATATACACACAGAGTCTACTATCTACCCTCCGGGGAACAAAAACCAAACTTTTGCTCCTTCTTTTTCGGGGAGAATTTCAAAAAGGTTTTGCAGACTGTAATTACAGAGATCTATTTCCAGGAAGAAAAATAAATGCGGATTAGGATGGAAATAATGATAGTCTCCCCCCGCCCGCCCCGAAACCACTGTATCTAGTGTGTGTTAATAGTGTAACAGACAAGAGTGACTTTTTTACACTTTTACTTACCAAATAGTCTATGAATCTGCTTTGATTATGGATAATATTGTAATGACACTTAACCATGGAAAATGGTTCGTTTGATTTCTGGTGAATGGAATACATATGAGACACAGATATATTTCATCTTATTTTTAATCCCCTAAAAAGTGATTCTACTTCCAACAGTACCAAAAACTGAGGCAGTGGGGAATCTAGACCGAACTCTTTAGTTACACTTGCTGTGTTCTATTACATCCCTAACATAGGATGAATACACAAAAAGAAATCCTTCAACTCTTTTTGTCTCCAAACACTAAACTTATTGTTGCTCTAGAGATTGTTGTGCAGTGTTCTTGTAAATGTGTCAAACTTTGCAGTACCTTAGGCGCTTGCTTTTTATTCATCAACTATGGTACTAATTCATGAGGCAGGCTCTCCTCCTTTCTTTCTTGAATATGAACTGCTCACACCCTACAACGGATTAATTTCCTTGTATGTATAAGGATAATTAACTCATTCTCTTCCCTTTAATGTTGTTAGTATTAATGCTCTGTAGAAGGGATGTGCATATTTCTCTGAATCTGTTCAGAGTCCGACTCCACGCCCAAGCCAGTCTCAACTAAGTTCAAATCGCTTATCTGATTGTCTCATCACTATAAAAAAGACACCATTCTTTTCAGGTGATGCACCTTCCCCAGCAAAAAGCCCCAACTGCAATGCAGAGAACTAACAAAACAAGTTTGTAAGATGATCTCACTGAACTTTGGAAAGCTGTAAAAAGCCTTTGATATAAAGTCTCCTAAATCAGACCTAAATAATTTTTCCGGCTGAGAGACAGGAACGTAGCTAGAGTCTGGCGAGACACGTAAATCTAGTCCCGGGCTTTGTTTGGGCTCAGGGCAGGGGTTGATTCTCAGTAACTCTAGTGTATAGCTTGTTATTTATGTCCGGGGCCCCCTGCAGTGGGTGCTACCTTGTTGTGTATGCGAGTTGCTGCCACCCTTCCAAAACACCGCGCAGCTCGGGAAAAGTCAAGCACGGAAAAGTCCTGATTTTCATTTAAATAGTCAAAACCATGATGCATTTGGGCTATTATGATAGGACAGCTCCCATGAAAAGATTATTTGAACTACAAAGGCATTCAGTTAGGGCTCGCGATGCTGCAAAAGGGCCTGCTAGAAATTAGCAGCCTGTCCTGGTATTTGGAGAGCAAGAGTGACAACTTATTGGAAGTTCTCAAGGAATCATTTATATTTCACACTCCACTAGGCAGCTGATTTGAGATTGTCTGTTAGCATAACAAAGGCTCTGAGCCTGTGAACTTCAGAAACCTTTCGACCTCTTAGCTACTGACATGAATAGCCCCCAGCCCTGCCTATAGAGATCTCCCAAAGCTCCCCGGTTCGTGGCTAAATTGTTAATCAGGGTAATTTAATATAGTTTTCAATATGCCTCATCTCTTATGAGGCAAGGTATTCACAGATTTTCCCCCGCCCGAAAAAAGTTCTCTTTCATTCAAGTGTGAGAGGGGCAGCTGCAGGGAGAACCCACCCCCAACTCCTTTCCAGTGCTCCTTGAACTGCAGTGTAGCCACCACGGTGGAGCTCAGAAAAGGAAATTCACAAACAGCAGCAATCCCTTTCCCTGGACTCCAACCTGAACCTGAAATTCCGACTGTTCCTCCCAAACAGACACAACAAAAAACTCGGGTCCAGCCAGAGCTGAAGCAATTACAACGCTGTGAGTTCCCATATGCCACACCTCCCTTCTTCCCCACACAAGGAAAACCCCTCACACACAGTAACAGTCATATATAGCCACCTTACTATTTGCCTCTATCTATCTATCTATCTATCTACTCTCTCTTTGAAAGTAAATTTGTTGG